ATATATATATATATCATCATGATAATATATTGCAAATAAACTATGCAACTCAAATTATTAAATAAAAAATTTATTATGCTGACTATACATTTTATTACTACTACTATTTTAAGTTATTTCACTTATTTGGACTTCTATGTTCACCTCTCTTTATAATAAAGTCCTATGTAAATGCTAAGAGATAGAACTAGAAGTGTTTTATTTTAAGGGTCTTCCTAGTTTTCTTGTTCAGTCCCTTCCTTCTATAAACTTTTAAGCCTTTCTCTGTATGATAAATAAAGATGTCTCGAGTTTAATATATTTGTTCTTATTTTTCTCTATTCTAAATTATGGGAGCATGATCATGTGGAGCTAAATTAGCATAATAAAATTAAAAAATGATAAACTTTGATCAATATAAAAGAGAAGAATATAGGAAACACCAGAGTTTTTATATAGCAATTCATAAAGGAAGAAAATCATCAGACCTAACCTAGATAAAATAATCCACTATATACTTCAAGTTATAGAAATCCGCTCTTCCACACAATTGGAAAAGATGAGATTACAAAGTTGTTGGAAGCACTTGTAATTTTAGTCAAGATTGTGAGAGAAGTGTTATAGGGATGACGATAATAATTGGACGATGTTAGTCGGGCAATGATGGTTCGAATGTTGATGGCTAAACAATAATATTCGAGTAATAGTAGTTAAGCAATGGTTGTCAAGTGACGACAATCAAATGAAGGTAGTAGGGCAGTAACGATTGGACAATAGAGGTCAAATGATGTGGAATGGACAATAACAATCAGGCAATGATGGTCTTTTGGTGACAATCAAGTGACAATAGTTCAGCGATAGTAGTCAAATGATGGTAATTGCTAGTGGTGATCATCAACATCAAACATCAGGTAGAGCTCAAGAATTCTTCAAATATCTAAGCTTTTTCCACTATTAAGTCAAGATCTCCTTCATGTGGAGAATGAGAGTTCATTTATAGTGTTTTAGAAATGATATTTTGATAAATCTAACTAAAATTTCATAACAATCCGTCAAATTGCTCATTAAATTATTTGAACATATATTAATTAAGTAATTATTCAATATTTAAGTACTTTAATGACCTTAGAATTAAATGATCTTGACTTCATTGGATTCATCTCGTTGAGCCACTCAATTGGCTATAAGCATTTATGATTGACAAAACTTTTTATTTTTAATAAATGTCCTAAAGTTTTTAGTCATAATTTGGCTCATTTGGACTCGGGTCCAACCATTAGTGTCATTGGTTTTGTCTCATCAAGTCATTCAATTTAACTTTAAATTTGCTGAAATCAGTATTCAGATGGTCCTGAATTTAACTTCGAAAGTTTTTAATCATTTAATGCAAATAATAATTCATGTCAATCAAGTGAACTTTTTGGAGAGTTATTAATAATCAGTTAAAAAATATACAAAACTATTTAGACGGTTAAGAAAATTGGAGTTCTTCAGAGCTCTTCTTGAGCTTTCTTGCAAGAGAGAGAGGGAGAGGGAGGAGAGGGATAATTTAGAGGAGGAAAATGTATCCTAAAGCTTTATTAAAATTTGTTTCCAAATTAATACATCTCATACAATGCCTATATATAAGCATTTACATTGCTGTTATATCTTGTGGAATAACCTAAACTAAACTTGGACAAATCCTAACATAGACATCTAAAGGTGTTCAAAAAATTCTTCTCATAAGGTCAATTACTATGCCTAGAATAATGTTCCTCTACATCCATACAAGCTAAAAATTGTTCAAATGAAGATAATCATGTTGAAGTTCAAACTTCAATTGCCGAGAATATTCATGATTCCAAAAAAAAAACCAAGTTTTAAAAATTCAGTGCAAGGAGAATACTTCCCCTATCCCATCTGAGATGAATTTTAAATTTTATGGATTTCAGTTTTGATATGTCCTCAAAAAATTTATCTTGATCAGGCACAAATCTCGATGCAAAATCAAGTTGGAAACTTCCAAAATTAAAATTGGGACCATCCGAACTCCGATTTCAGCAAACTTACAGTCGAACTGAACATCTCGGAAATACGAACCCAACGACACCAAATTCGACTCAATCCGAGCCCAAATGAGTCCAAATCATGGACCTGAAGCGCTGTTGGAAGATTCGAACCACAATTTGGGTTAGCAAACGGTTTCCAAACATGACGTGCTTATAGTCGAATCGAGCGGCTCGACGAGACGAATCCAACGAGCCCAAGATCGCCGAATTACGACATCATTAAGGCATTCAAATGTCTAACGAACGGTGTATGATCAAGGGATTCAATATCGGCCGTCCATCCAACCACTCCCCATTTACCCTTGATCTCTCACCTATTTACGGGTCATGCCACTCCAGAAATCTATAAATAGACCCCTCATTCCTCTTGAAATGGGGGGATCCAAACAAGAAGAGAGGAAGAGAAAAGAAGGAAGAGAAGGAAAAAGCTCCTCCTCGACCACCGCCGGAGTCTCGCCGGACCACCACTAGAGGCCCTCACCTCCACCGAACCACCGCCTAACGTCGTTACTCGCCAGACCACCACTTGAGGCCCTGACCTCCGCCGGACCACCGCCTGATGTCGTTGCTCGCCGGACCACCACTTGAGGCCATCACCTCCGCCGGACCACCACTGGAGGCCCTCACCTCCGCCGGACCACCGCCT